CAATTTATTGTTTATCTTCTTCTACTGATCCGAGAATGCTTTCAAGACTGTTGCGAATAGCTTTGCCTTCTTTGACCTTGGTCAACATTTATTGTTTCTTCTGTTTGATAGCATTGGGGATCTAAGTCAAGTTGAACTCATAACGTTCGATGGTGGCTATCACAATTTCTAGTTCTTTTTGAAGCTCAGCACACCTAACTCTCAGCTGATTTAGTTCTGGTTGAATTTTAGAAGAAGAATTCTTCAAATTGTCGATCAATTGTGCCAATTCTTTGGCTTCCTGTTTGTTAGAATTCTTTTTGGTCATCAAAGCTTCACGGTCAATTAGATTTCTTTGAGCCTTTTTCACCTTGGGAGCTTGGTCCTCGATATTGCATATAGGTATCAAGGCCTTAGCAAGATTTGAGGTCAGATTATCCTTGATGGCTAAGAAGGTTCTTCTCATTGGGACTGCATTCTGGACCAAATTGGCTATATTTCCCTCGAGCATTGGCAGCATGTCTTTTAGCCGATTTTTGGTCTCATCTGATAAAGTCTCTTGGGAAGAAATGACTGATGAGCTAATGTCACTTTCATCTATGTATTCTTTAAAGTTGAAGGAGTAGCTCAGAGCTGAAGAATTAAGTGCCTACATGTGAACAAAAGGAATTTTATTAGAAGTGGCAAATGGGTTTGACAATGAGATAAATGATGACGGGAACATAGTACCTTTTCTAGAAGAAACTCTAGTTGAGGAGAAGGAACAACCGATGATATACTAACATCTTTTTCAACATTTAGTTGAATCGGCTCTGGATTTTCGATGCTAGTGTCTGCAGGCATCAAGAAGTTTTTTTGGTTTATATTTGTTATAGAAGGACAAAAATGAGCATATGAATTTCTTATCATCGACTGTTTGCTGAGTTGGAGAATCAATGGTTTGGGTATCAGCATCAACAGGGTCATTTTCAACTGTTGGATTGTTAAACATTTGCTCTTGTGCAGATGTTTTCTCAGGTGGTGTCAGATAGAGGAGAATGATCAGAGAAGAGTGAGGATTGCATAAGATTAAAAGGCTTGAGGAGATTCCTTGGTAGCATCAGGAGGTGAAGTAGAGAGGTTCTCATCTTCTGTTGTTTTGGGTCTGTCAGAAGCATCGGTCATTTCAATTGTAATCGGCTTCTTAGAAGGATTAGCCGATGAGAGGTTGGTAGACGCCGATTCAAATGCCTGGGACAATAATTCAGCACACAAGACAGATTAGGACGCAATAGTCGATGGTTGCAAGAAAGGGATTGAATTAGAAGTTGGATATCATCTTAAGAGGGAAGATAAGTTAAGTTACTTGAGCAATTGATGATTCTGTTCCGCGAAGTCTCTTCCCAGTGGTGGTTTTCTAAGTTACACTTTGGGTTGCCTTGCGTTTTGGAGACTGATATGTGCGTATTGTTGGGACAGCTGGGGTTTTCATCAACTTTTTCAAAGTGGGTGCAGTTGATCCCATTCTTGAGGCTAGACATGGTGGATAATATTCTATGGGATGTCCTTTCCTGTCCACGCTTGGCGGATAAAATTTGGTATCCTGCAAAAGAGTTTGTTAGATGAATTGATAGGAGAACTTGTTAGATAATCCTTCTAAAAGAAAAAAAGAGTAGTAAATTATTTCACTATCAGAAGCAAATTCTTCATCCAGGGCTAAACAGTTAGGATGAATTGGACTTCAAAAGAGGTAAGAGTGCCATTCTTGCCATAAGGAATCAAACAAATTTAAGGAGAAGGTAGCTCTTGTCTATTCATGCAGGCAGAGAGAAGGAAGGTTTGGTCCTAGTTGAAAAACTCTAAAAGCTTCCATGATCTCACTGATACCTTCTCTTGGCTTCAGAGTGTTCCTAAAGAATAGCCGAGGAGGTAGTTGACCAAAGCTAAATTGACAGACCATAAAAGAAGGATTATAGAATTCATAAACTGGGAGGTTATTTGGGAGAAAAGAATCAGCAGCCATTTTACCACGGCCATGGCGAAATTCGGCTGGCAGTACACAGGGTTTGATAATACAACTAAAAATTGCAGCAGCTGTTTTATCTGAGCAACCTGTTTCAAATCAAAATTTGACTGGCAGAACTAGTGCATTGTCTTCATCCTCATCATAAGGCAGCCAAGTCAAGATGTTTGCATCAAACTCTCTGAAAAATTTCTTGAAAAGGTGGCCAATATCAGCAGCAATTGTTATGGCTGATGCAGCTTCACTATAATTCATACATTGTCGAGTTCTTTCTTCTTTTCTTTTATAATCTTCAGCAAAGTTGGAAGAAGGGAAGCTCAGATTCCTAAGATTGGGTCTTACAATTTTATGCATGTACAGATTCAGCCACAATTGTATTAACCACCAAGGGCCACTGATGGTATGCACTGGTTCATTTTTTAGTAATTGAACAGATACTTGGTGCATCAGGTGATAAGCAGACCCCAGCAGATATTTTCCAAGGAAGATTTTATTGCCCGCTGCTAGACGTTCTGCCATGTATTTATGATTATAAGTTAGTCCGCAAGATGACCCACAAAAGATGGATTTTTCCAGCCACATGTTTTGGAAAGCTACATGCTCTCTTTCATCAACGATCTATCCATTCCCAATATGGTTCAGAATATAGCTTGCCCATCTTATGTAGTCTGATATTTTGGCTAATTTTTTAGACCTGGCGCTTAAGAAATCATAGGGTTGCATTGATCCTATTATTCTAAGGCCGGTCAACATGTAAATATCGGCCAAAGTGATGGTCATTGGACCGTGACAAAAAACAAAAGCATTCAAAGTATTGGACCAAAAGTAAGATGCATAAATCAGAAGTGAGTCATTCCTCTTCATTTCAGACAGTGAAAGTGTCAGACATTGATTTAAGTCATAAATTTCCTAATCTCCAGTCTTTTTCTCTGATACCTTATGGAACCAATCCCTCCATCCCTTAGCCATTTTGGGTCAATTTCTAAAGGGAGTTTTGATGTTTTAAGAAGACAAATCTACTATAGATTGTCTGAAGGGGATTCGATTGGTTTCTTTATTGATGAAATCAGATGGATCAGGGTCACCCATGGGTCCAAGATAATAAGCATTAGGAACAACAGCTGATGGAATCAGAATTTCGTTCTTCATTTCCTAGAAACCAGTTGGGATGAATTTAAGAAAAAGAAAAATACAGAGTAGCGGCTAACACTTGAAAGGCAGAACTTTGAAGGCATACCTTAGGAACGTGATTGATCTTTTATGAGCCTTAATATAAGTTAGTTATCGATCTGTATCGTAGTTTGTAAGGCTGCATCAGCTGATTGATCTCTTACGAATCATAATATAGTTCAAAGTTATCGATCTTGTATTAAATAATTTGTTGTTTAATACAAAATCACCAGTTACCGAATCTACTAAAATTAGTAAGATTTTCCTTGCTGTTTTTTGTTGATTCACCAGTTATCGATCTTGCTATAATTAATGTTTTATTAATTATAACAAAATCACCTGATTGAGATAGAGATAGATCGGCATCATATCATTTTAATTGGTCGTCCTTTGATCTGGTTATGCTTCAAATCTTATAATTAATGGCTTAATTCCGCTAGATCGGCTGTTTTATCTCTCACATAGTTATGCACCTAATTCAGGATTGCCATAGTATTAATCGAAGAACAAATTTGAACAAATCAGATTTCCATGGACATCAAAGAACGAAGCCAATCAAACCATTCAGACCAATCTGATCCATCTAAATAATAATGGATTTGAACAAGGATGGATCAAGTCAAATTGAAGGAGGAAGAGGTGGAAGGTGGCCTGTGCCGGCAGATTGAGAGCAAAAATGTTGGCGTCGATGTTTATGGTGAGGCCAAGAAGAAAGAGTCTTAGATGTGCTGCTGCACAGCAAAGATGTTGCCCTCGCATGGTGAGAGAGGTGACGGCCACCTCGCTAGCTCCGCATCAAGGCCCCAGCCATCGTGTGGCATCTTTGGCAGTGGCTTATCTAGAATTTTACCTAAGGGTGTGCCACACAAAAATATTCATATACAAATTGATAAACTCATTTACCAATTCTCTAGAAGATCACAAAATTTGTAGCATAATTCCATATACATGCACTAAATAATAGTATACATGCACTAAATAATATGATAAATCTTAAATTTAAAGATTAAGTTGAAAGGTTCCACATATTACAATATAAATAGTTTAATACCATGCTGATAATTTAAAATGAGGCATGAAAGAGAATACAAACTTACAATGGTATTTGTCTAACATTTTAAGTTGACGCTTTCTAAGAGATATCAAATATGATTGTCTTGATTATTATAGAAAAAAATAGAAGTAATATCTTCACTCCTCCTCATAACTGGACAATTTTAAAAAAAAGCAATGCAAATCACATGCGATCGGGATGATAGATTCATATTTCATAGAATCACATGATGTAGTCTGCTACGATTATAAAACATACATGATATGAATATCTGATACTATCTTTTGGTGATATACATAAATATATAAACATGATGTTGTCTTTTGGTGATATACACAAATCACAAGCATGATGTAGTCTTCAGATTTATTCGAACTTGTGTATCCTAATTTTTTTTATCTCAAATCATTCAAAATCTAGTCATCATGTGGATGGGAAACGTAGGGCGTGTTTGGCTGGTTGGCTGGCCAGCCACCTCACATAATCACTGTTCATATCTTTTTAGAATAGTATTTTTTTCTCATAATAATTAACCAGAATAATATTTCAGTCCCGCCAAACATGCCCGTACACCGGAAAACGTGGCACACACTACGGGGTACGCGTTCGTGGAGTCCTGGACTCATCCAACTCGACTTGACAGTTCACGCCGAGCGGAGCCCGGAGCACAAGTGCACAACCGCCGCGGGCCACAGCTCCCACAAAACACTAACCCGGCACGCTACGCTCACCGCCGTACCGTTCCACGCGGCCTCCCCAACTAACCCTATCGCCCGGCGACCGGGACGACCGCGGATGGACCGCCTCGTCGCCTTCTCCCGCCGCCGCCGCCGCTGGATCCTCCTCGCCGCGGCCGGCGCGGCGGCGGCGGCGGCCGTTGGCGCGTACAAGATCTACCACCACCCGGCCGTCGCGGAGCGGCGCCGCCGCCTCGTGCGCCTCGCCGCCGCCATCGCGGCCTTCGCTGACGCCGCCGCGTCGTCCGCCGACAGCGCGGCGCTGGTGGCCTCCGATCTGGCCGACTTCGTCCGGTCCGACGCGGACGAGGTCCCCCGCAGCGTCAAGCAGCTGGCCAAGCTCGCTGCCTCCCCTGAGGTCTCCGCCACCGTCTCCACCCTGTCCGAGGCGGTGACCTCCGGGATGCTTCGCGGCGCGGGATCCTCTAGCTCCGGGCCCGGATCCGGCGGTACCGTGGCCCTCTCCGATCGTCTCGTAGACAAGCTCTTCTCCGACTCAGGCGAGCGCCTCGCGGCCGCGGTTGCCGGGAGCTTCGCCCGCCATCTCGTGCTCGCCTTTTACGCCGCTCCTTCACCTCAGGGGGAGGCGTCCTCCTCCCCGACGATGTGGGTCAACGTGGTTGCGACTGGAAAGTGCCGGAAGGCGATAAGCAACTGGGTTGAGGTCTTTGTGGGCACCGCTGTGAGGGAGTTCATTGACAAGACCATCCACATCAACACCTACGAGCAGCTCTTCGAAGGCCTCACCAATCCGAAACATGATGCCAAGGTCAAGGAATTGCTTGTTTCAGTGTGCAATGGTGCGGTTGAGACTTTGGTGAAGACCACTCACCATGCCCTGTACACTACTAATGGCAAATTGGATGCAAATGGTAGTGGCAGTGGTAATGGCAATGGCAATGGAGTTGGGGAAGGGTGGGTGGAGACGGTGTCAAGCACATTGGCAGTTCCTAGCAACAGGAAGTTTGTGCTTGATGTTACAGGGAGGGTCACATTTGAGACAGTGAGGTCATTTCTGGAGTTTGTTCTTTGGAAGCTGCAGGATGGGGCAAGGAAGGGCAGTGACTCTGTTGTTGACAGTGGGCTGCGCGTCTTGAGGTATATGAGCGATAAGTCCATGGTTATCGCTACGATCTGCATTACATTGTGCTTGCATGTGTTGAATGGGACTAGGCTCTTGGTAACAGCTTGAGAGTGTGCTTGTTTGGCTTTCCTAATTGAGCACATTTGTTTGTATAAAACTGTAGGAATCATACTGAAACTGTAAATCCAAAAAGAGTGGAAGAAGATAAATTGTGCTGCAAGATTCTGTTATGCCTGTATGCTTGAGATTGGTCTACACGGCTGTAGTGAGAGAGTTGTTGAACTGGAGTACTACCTGTTGGCAACCTTATTTATGGGACTAATTGGCACTTAGATGCCTGCTGTCATTGAAGCTTTGTTTTTTTACCAGTATAGCATCACTAATATTGTGGGGGTCGAGTTGATCCACTAAACTGTGTGCTTTTGTATCTCTTGTCATCAATGATGTAAAGCAGAGCTTGCCCACGTGATTATTGAATTATGTAAGATCTCAACTTTGGTTTCTATTATTTGAGTTATTTACTTGCTATCTCACTATAAGATTTATTTAGTGTGTTGATCGATGAAATGGTATCTTATTGTCTTGCTATCAACTTCTGAAGTATTCACAGATCCTAGTCATACCAACTTGATATTCATCTCTGTTTTTTCTTCTTTAAGGGAAGCAGGAGCACTGCTCGCTCCTTTACTTGTTACTCGTCTTGATCTTTATTTCGCAACATTCATAAATCCTAGTCACCTAAGTCATCATTTATATGGTGTGATATACCAATCTAGACTCTGGCGACTTGGTGAATCTGATGCTCACTTGCTCTACATGTGTATGTGTAATTTTTGGACCTTGTTCCTCCATCTTAGTCTGATAGTGTCATTCACTTGAGTTTACATTCAGACTTACTTTTGGTTGGTTGGTGCATTCCATTTGCTACTACTCATAATTTTCTCTCCGTATTGACACGGAATTTCACGATCTGACTGTTCACGCTTCATACTTCGCCAGAACTAAATTAGTGCCATATTTATGATATGATCTGGCAATGTATAAATTGGTGGCCTGGTTGTGTTGATATGCAAATGTGTTACAAATGTTAAAAGTTATTAATTTATTCGATCTGAGCTCATCCGTCTTGGGACGTCACTTTGAATTTTGAATGCCAGTTATAGCTTGCTTAATTGAACATTTTTCTGTTTCACTGTGCATCTTTACCGGGCTACCGCGTCTGTTATTTTTCCTGGGTCCACTAGACAACTACATCTGCGGGGATGGGCCAAATAGATACGGAGGTTTTGGTGGCGGGGACCAAGGCAAAAGTAGCCTCTTGCCAGGCTTAATTCCAGGCCATCCATTGCAGATATTTTTAGGGCATGCTTTAAAATGGGCCTCCATAAAGGCAATGGGGCCCTGTTCTGATCAGAAAGTTATTTGTAGGGTGTGCTTGGAAATGGGCCTCCAAAAAGACAATGGGCCCTGTTCTGATCAGAAACTTTAGGCCTCCAGCATCGACATTGACTTATCGAAGACACCGTGAACGGGTGAACAGTAAACACCAACATTTGCTGTACCTCGTGTGAGAGTTAGCTTTGACACCTTGTGTGAGAGTTGTTGTATGTTTTCCTTTTCCGATCCGAGTTTTTTTTTTTGCAACAATGGGCTGTATTCATTGATCAATATCTGAATTACAATCAGCAGCCATCAAGGCCGAGACACAGTCCGGTGCAAATTGCCACCACCCGACCTGTGTTTCGCTCGTGACCTGTTTCGCAACAACATGAGCTACTTTGTTACAAGTTCTACTGATGAAAGAAAACTTGAACCCATAAAACAAAGAGCTCAACTCCCGGATTTCCTTCATAATCGTCACCACGCTGGAGCGTTGTTTCTCACCCACTGACCACAGCTTCAAAAGCTCCTGACAGTCAGTTTCCAGCCACCTGTTGCGTCAACACCAGTCCGTCGCGACAGGCTAAGGCCTCCATGGTTAAGGCGTCCAGACAGTTTCCGTACCACTTGGCGCTGCATCTAACCAAGTCACCATTTTCATTCCGAAGCGCGACGGCACCTGATGCTCCCTTCCAATGCTCATAGAAAGCGCCGTCAGTATTAAGAGAAGCAACCTCAGTATTCTTGTTCGGCTGTTGGTAAAAGCAACTGCTGCTGACTGTCAACACAGTGATCTGTGAGAGGCAGCAACAGCACCAATGGCTGCAAAACAAGCTAGGTTCAATTGGATTATGGGATCTAAAGCTCTGTTTGGACGTGAAAATTTTTCTCCGTTCTTGTAAAGTTTATATACGATTCTTGTGAGGAATCTCTATCCCAAATGGACCCTAAGAATTTGTGTGTTGGATTTTCATTGTCTAGTCTGGAATCTATATATCATGTTTGGGTGGGTGTGGGATTGATATTTTGTTAGTAGATTCTCAAATCTATATCCCTACAAACAAAGCCTAAATACTGGTCATCCAAAAATTATAATTTTTTTTTTAAAAGCTGCGAAATGTTATAAGTCATTAGCATTGTTAGTCAACAAATTTATAACAAGATGTTGATTCTACAAGAAAATGCTAAACCATTGTAATTGTTGAAGCAACATGTCTCACGTAAAAAATGTTGAACGGCTAAAAAGAAGTTGAGTCAACGAGAAAATGTTGCATCGACCTTCTTCTTTTTAAAAATACTGAATCAGCAAAAATATGGTAAATCAAGAGAGAATTTGGAGTCAACAAAATTAGTTGTGGGAAGAAGGAACATCTTAAATATGGCAAGATGTGGAAAATAGTAATCCATTAGTTATAAATGTAAGATATTTAGATATCCTATGTCAAAGTTCTAAGACTTTCATTGAAGTAGTGATATTTAGATATCCTATGTCAAAGTTCTAAGACTTTCATTGAAGTAGTGAAAAATAAATTAGTATCCATAATACCAATTAAACACGTTATCAAGGTGCCTTTCTTGACAGATTTAATGAGACTAATCTGATGTGTAGTGATTCATTTTTAATAAGTTATTAAGGAAATTTGACTTAGGAAAAAAACTAAAATTTGTTATATTTTGGAATAGAGGTGTCAACATTTAAATTTGATGGATACGTCATACGTGGCCGGCTAAGTAGTGGTCGACCAGAGTACAATAGACAACAAGATCATCAAACCTTTTTCTTTTACGATCAGCGTATGATACAAACCGTATTTCAAATTTGTATAGGCCGTGACATCCTTCCTTTTGTCCATCACTACGACAGCTCTTGCTTGGGCCACAGGTCGCTCGTGCGCTCGCTCATCCTCCAATCTCTATTCCGCTCCAGTAGTGGCGGCAGTGGCACCAGTAGCGGCTGTAGCCTCTCAGAAATGAGGGCCTTCGTTCCAACGAGCGGCCGGCCCGATGACACGGGTGCAGTGCAGACACACGTCGCCGCCGGGGGCTGGGGGCAAAGCAAGCACGCCGCGCTCCGCGAGCACCCTCTCTATCTGTATCCGCGCAGCTTCCGTTGTCACACCAGCACCACCCGGTGGTGCGGTGACGCCGCGGGATCCCAGCATTATACATGCCGTGATCCGCTTGGCCGCCGGCCGCGGCCTCGCATTGCATTGCTCACCTCACCCCGCAACGAGCACAGGAAGACTCCCGGCGCCGCAACCGCCGCTTCCAATGCGCCTCCGCCATATGCTCATCCGCCACTGATGCCTGCCGGCAACCTCGCGCTGGTCTTTCTCCTCTCTGTCTCGCGCGCGTCGCCTTAATTTGGTCACTCCCGCGGCTTGCTTCCTTATCTCGCACGCCGATCGCTGCTGCTGATCGATGGATCCATCGCTGCGGGGCAGCTTGGGGCCTGGAAAAGGAGGTGGCGGCACTGGCAGAGCGCAAATAAAGCAAAGAAGAACCTTAAAAACGAAAGCCGGGCGGGTCGCACGAGATCCGCGCTAGCTGAAATCTTTGCTTTTGCCGATGGTTCCAATCAAACCTTTGGCCTGCCTATCCAGACGCTACATGTAAAAGAAACAAAGGAGAAAAAAGCGGCCTTTTCTGCTCCTGGTCCAAAGCTCCCTTTGCTCTAGCTAGCAAAAGCATTGCTGCCGAGGGAACAGGAACACCCCATGTGTGAGTTTCCATCCATGCTCCGTCCACTAAACCGCTTTAAGTGCTTTGCGGCAGCTGGTTGGTTTTCAGCGTGGTGTGGTTGATAGAATTCGCCTGGAAAAAGATTAAGGAATCCGGATCGGCGGATCGGTCTTCTTCTCTCCCACTCTCTCTTAATTTCTTTAACGCCGGAGTTCTTATCCGGTGATAGACTAAAGAGTGGTTTATAGTACTTCCTGGAGGCCGGTGATGACTGCTGATGAGTGATGAGTGTAGTGGCAGTGTCAACGCTTTATGTGTTGTGCGCTGTGCACCCCGAAATGCTGGAATAAAAATTTGGAGCGGATAAGATGAACGTCGTGTGAAAATTGGCCACGAACGTTAATTTACAAGCACTTTATTAAGCACTGGCGGCTTTAATTTAGTTGCTTCTGGTTTGTGTGAATTAGAAGCATTTTCTCAATGGAATACAGGAATAGTAGTGACTAGTAACATTATTTCGATCTTGTACTGTGGAGAGAGGGGCGGCGGGGTTGACCCATTGAGCGGTTGTGCTTTATTATTATTTTTCCGTTCTAAATTATAAATTGTTTTGACTTTTTTATATATATCTATTTTGCTATACATGTAGATATAATAATATGTATAGATATATAACAAAATGGATGAAAAAAAGTCAAAGCGATTTATAATTTAAAATAGAGGGAGTAGTGGTTAGTGAAGGGAAACTCTACATTTCATGTAGGATCAGTCCCTTAACCTAATTTGCAACTGACGGACGTTGAGCCCCGTGTGTGATAGCACATTATCCAGGATACCTAAATATTTTTGTACTAGAGACTTATTCTACACAAGACATTAAGTCCCATTTGGCACGATCCCTTGTCAAATGCTCCTCCAAAAGAACCGGAGCACTTGAAGGTGAACCTATTTTTTTAGCTTCAGTTCTAGCCCAAAACAACTCCAACTCGTCTACTGTTCCCTGAAAAATGGCTCCTCTTCCTAAAGTGTTTTGTACAGCTCCTATG